AATTTATCAATGACAACAATTTTCAATCAACAAAATGGCGTTTTATACAAGTTTTACTTGTTATTCTAATAATAACTGCTATTACTTTATATATTCTACCAATGAAATTCGTGACATATCCATTTTCTATCACTTCTAAAAATCAACACGCTATAACAACAATTACTGCACAAAAAACTAAGATATATTGTATCGTATATCTGAAAGATCGTTCGGGTCGTCTTGGTAATCGAATGTTCATGATTGCTAGTGCTTATGGTCTTGCTCGTCTTCATTCTTGTCATCTATATTTAACACCAGAAATAATCAATGAAATGAATGCAATATTTATTCTTAATCTTTCTCCTTTTCTTATTTCATCAACCATCTTCAACTCAATTATTCACAATAATTCAAAACCAATGACTAAAATAAGTAAGAATGTCGTTTGTCAGTATATTCCTGAATTGACACGTCCAAATGCAATTTCATCAGGATGTATATTTGAATTAAAAGGTTTTTGGCAATCATATCTTCATTTTGCTAAATATAATGATGATATTCGAGAACGTATATTTGTCGCAATACAATCTGTACTCAAGAAAGTTTCGAAATTATTCATTAATATTTATGAAAAAAAGTTTAATTTCAAACCTCAATTTTCATTAGAAAATCATCAATCATTTAAAAAACAATTAGTTCAATCAAATTGGACAACATGGATTGGAATTCATGTACGTCGTAAAGACTTTGTTCTCTTAAATTATTCTTCAACTGATGAATATTTATTTACTGCTATTGATTATTATATAAAACGTTATTCAAATGCCTATTTTATAGTTGCTAGTGACGATAAATCTTATTGTAAAAATCTATTTCATAATCGATCAAATATTTTTGTTACACCACAATCATTTTCGATGAGTGATGATTTAATTACACTTTCACTTTGTGAACATTCAATCATAACAGGTGGAACATTTGGATGGTGGACAGGTTATCTTGCTAATGGTCAAGTAATTCATGATAAAGTATATCCATCTGGATGTGAAAGACGTGAATATTACTATCCACCATGGTTTCTGATAGATGGAAATGTTCGAGCACATAAAAATAGTAAAAATATTTTGTAATGAAAAAATAAAAAGAAAAGTTTTATCAAAATAATAGAATACATAATGATACTAGTTTATGTATATCAATAGAATGTTGTTACTGCTCAGGGTTTCTTAGTTTCTAATGTAACAATCAATTGAATATCAGAGTATTAGTAACAGAAACATTTTATAAGACTTGTTTGTTTACTTCAGTATTATATATTGTAATCGATGAATGAATGTGCAAATGTTTGTTTTTTTTTGTATCGTCATGTATGAGGATATTGAAGCATTTTAATGTATCAAGAGAATAATGATATATATAACTATGAGTGAAGAAAAAGACAGCAAAATCCTTTCATTTGAAAGAGAGATAAATAATATGACAAGTAATTGTATGAGTTATTGAATTGTAAAAGAGAATATTAATCAAAATAACATTCAATAACAAAGGCAAATTATCGAGATTATATAAAAGTTCATTAATATCTCGAAGAAAAAGAGAAAGGATCTCTTATCTTCTTTAAATATGTAAATTTATATATTTGAAAGCATAAAAATCAAAACTTGCTTATTAAATCAATATGTCATTAGTAGTTATCAATGATTAAAATGTTTTCTAGCTGAGTTTGGTAAAACAAATAGTTCATCTACACTTCAGATATTTAATATAGTGCAAAGTATAGCATTTATGGAATCCTTCTCAATTTACGCATCGAAAGGCCTTTTTATTTTCTGTTGCGATGATCTGGATAACGATAAGGTAGACAATACTCGTTCAAACACAAGAATGAAATTTCATGATCGAATGGTTAACATTTATTTTGTGATCTCTAATCATACATTTGCTTATCTTATAGAAAGTCACTCAAAAACATACATTTTTGTTGGTTTAGCTTTTGTTTTTAAATTCCCAGATAATTAAAACGATAACAGCAAAAAAAAATGAGCTGTCACTTTCTCTGCTTATAGTTAAGTCAGAATGAGAATCAATCAATAGTATTCATTAGAAGAATATTGATATTGATTAATAGTATTCTCTTAATAATGAATGTCACAATGGCTACTTTACAAATTCTTTATGACTTCGATCAGCTGATTGATCGAAACGTAAATCTCTAAATTCACAATGATTGAAGAAAAAAGACGTTGATATGAGTGAAAAGTTAAAGTCTTTTGAAGAAAAACGTTTCATAATCAATCGTATAAGTGATGATTCATTTTTTCGAAGGTATCGACTTTTTTTGATGATTAATATTCGAAGCTTTACATCACATATCGCAGTTTAGTAAAACTTGAATGCCATCTAGTTTTTTTTCTTATAATTTGTAAAAGGTAGTCAACCACTAACCAGTTATAAATCAGAGAGAAGTTTATCTTAACGTGTATGTACAATCAACTTTATTGTTGCGAGCGGAGGGTATATATATGCTCGGGTTCGAAACAAAAGGAATGTGCTAGAAGTTCCAGAACTCACATGAGAGTACTACTAAGAACATACTGGAACAGTGAACATATATCTATTCAAGCATAACGACAGAACGAAAGAATATATAGATGGAACATATACATGTATATGACCACGTCACAATAATGACAGGAAGAAAAAGATAGCACCTGAGAGCTGACGCCATCTAACAAATTTAAACAAAATATACACTTCATTGATCTGCATACACATGTGTATCAAAGCATATATTGTGATCGATAATAAAATGAACAAATAAATCAGAGAAATATTCGTCGATGCATATCTTCGTTCTTAATGCTCCATGATTACAACTTGATAGCATACAATATAAATATATAACAAGCGTAACGTACAAGGTAGTAGTAGGTAATTATAAATATATTATAAACGGTACATATGATTTTATATCTATATTAGACAGTGAGAAAAAAAGAAAGGTGTGTTTTTGAATGCACTTTAATGCTCTATACAATTTTTTTAAAGTATTTATTTTTTTTTTGTAGCCTAGTAGATGAACTGCAAATTATAGTTACTAATTGAATAAAAGATAGTCATTAAATTAATTCAAATAATATGTTAATTCGATCTACACCTATCAAGAAAAAATTTACATTATTATTGAGAATAGTTATTTTTCTCAGTCTATTATTATTAATAAGTACTTCGTTACAGAGCTATCAATATACAGTGAACTTCAGTAATGTCATTATACAAAATCAATCACTCTTAACAATAAAACCACCATTAGTACATGTTAAAAAGAAAATTATGGTTCCATTAAAATCTCCTTCAATACGTTGTATTGTGTCTGCACGTTATCGTCTAGGTCGTTTTGGTAATCGAATGTTTACCATGGCTACTGCCTATGCTCTTGCTCGTCTTCATTCTTGTCATTTATTCTTTCCATTACCAATGTTAGAAGATATAAGATCTGTCTTTGTCTTTGATCTTGGACCTTTTCTCTTGTCTGTATCTATGTTCAAATCGATATGGAAAAATGAGTATCATCCAATGAAAAAAATTACTAGAGATGTTATTTGTCAATATATTCCTGAAATAACACATCCGAATGGTATATCAGAAGGATCTATATTTGAAGTTAAAGGTCATTGGCAATCATATTTATATTTTGATCAATATCGTGATGATTTACGAAATCGTCTTTTTGTTGCAAGACAACCATTACTTGAGAAAGTCTCAAAATTATTCATTAATATTTATGAGCAAAAGTTTAATTTCAAACCTCAATTTTCATTAGAAAATCATCAATCATTTAAAAAACAATTAGCTCAATCAAATTGGACAACATGGATTGGAATTCATGTACGTCGTAAAGACTTTGTTCTCTTAAATTATTCTTCAACTGATGAATATTTATTTACTGCTATTGATTATTATATAAAACGTTATCCAAATGCCTATTTTATAGTTGCTAGTGATGATAAATCTTATTGTAAAAATCTATTTCGTTATCGATCGAATATAGTTTTTACACCACGATCATTTTCTATTAGTGATGATATAATAACACTTTCACTTTGTCAACATTCAATTATAACTGGTGGAACATTTGGATGGTGGACAGGTTATCTTGCTAGTGGTGAAGTGATACATGATACCATGTATATCTCTGGATGTGAAAAAGATGAACACTACTATCCACCATGGTTTAGAAGCTATCTAAATGTAAGAAACCATAAAAATATTTTATAATTGAAAAGAAGAAAAATATATATGCAAGATTGAAATCGCGGTATTTCATATTTCTTCTAATGTTTTTATAAGAATATATATATATTTTGTAAAGATCACATTATAAAATAACAGAATGAATGATAACATTAATAACTATATAGAAAGAAGGTGTGAGGCATTGGTATTCTTTTCGCACACACACATAACCATCATTTCGTTCGTTGTATACGTCTTGCTTTACTAATGTGCATTAATAGTTCACTTGAACATGAGTTTTTTCTTTCTTTCTTTCTTTCTTTTATGCATGATGTGATGTACATCAATGAATTATTTGCCATCCTACCCACACCCACCCCAAATCACTTGATAAAATATATCAATTAGACAAGAAACATTTTAAACGTCTGGATAGCTCGAATTAGATGAGTTTTGTCAATGACACACCTCAACATGTGTACACCTAGGAGGGTGTGTGCGTGCCATGTAGTGCTTCTCTTTGCCTATTCATCCAATCACATTGATAAATTGCATAATGTCTATTTTCGTTGAATATTTTCATGCAAAATCTAAATAAATCCATTGGTTTAATTTCTCTTCAATAACAAGTGATTATCAAATAGATTTTCTGATTTAAAATTTGCGAATATGCGTACAAAGTAGATATTCATCGAATAAACACCCAATTAAAATATAATGACCCATTATAACAATAATTTCAATTTTTTTGCTACGAGTTTACTAGAATGAGAAGTGACAACTAATAGAATATTCTCAAAATGCTGAAAGGATGATACTACGTAGAAGTCTAGAAAAAAAATAGGACAAGTTTTAGAAAGCATATTAGAATTTTTTTTTTTTACAGCTAGATATCGATTTAAATCGATTAAATTCTCTTTTGTCTATTATAGTTCGTTATGAAATATATTGGAGGAACTGTCTGCATGATGTATTGCATACCGTATGTAACTGAGCAAGGAGTCGTATAGTGACGATTCAATTCTCTCTTAATTATCTTATCAATCAAAGTCAGAAAGTGTGACAATATTTTTTGTAACACTTTAAATGAAGGTGAAAATTTCTTAATCAAAAAAGAAAATGTTCTTTTCAAGTTAATGTTATCGGGGAAATGAATATGCCAGTGCTAGCTAAATATTTTCCTAATAAAAAAGACATGAACTATGACGTAGTCAGGAAATATTCAGTTTATCAAAGCATCAAATAGCATATTCTCTACAATCAATAAATCGTGTAATATCAGACTAAACAAGATTTATTTCCAGTGTTTCATTTGATCATTGTTCTCTTTCAGCTGCAAAATACAGATGTCAACCGATTGGCTGAACCGCTGTTCTACATAGATAACTTGTTCGTTATGTTTAATTTTCGTCCTTTATTTAAATAAATTTTTTGAAGGATCTGAATTGTTTTTTACAATACTATAATATGTTATTGTTTCTTATGAATAGTTTTGAACCGGTTGCTGCTATTCTGTGGGTGTACATGTGTGGATATATTAGTAAAAATATCAATATCTCAAGTTTTTGTTTCATTCTTTCCTGATATATAGCACCATTGACAAATTGAAAATGACAATGTAAACTAGCAAAAAATATGCTTGAAAATCGAAAGATTTACTGATGCTGGTAAGCATGGTAACTTATTATACTATTCGAAACAATGATTTAAAGGAGAGGTGACTTGTTCAATGAATTATGCTAGTGGTTAAAGTATTGAAAATCTACGATCATAGTCGAGTATGTACTAGATATTAATCAAGAGTGACATGATTTCACATAGGTGGAAGATTTTCCACATCATGCATTAGTATTCTTGCAAGTTGCACTGCACGGAAATGTTTCAAATCAGTACTCTTATATCAATTTTCATTCGGAAGTTGACAAAAGATATGACTGTTGAGAATCATCAGATGTATCACGCTTCATAGAAGCATCATATTTTTTTTCATGCTAACGAAAACACGTGTTCTACTCTGTTCTGTAGAGGCACATCGACTTGCAAGGAAGAAAAATAAAAAGAAAGTGTGCGTATTCATCAGTTTTATTCGTTTTCTTCGGATGTATCATCCGATGCAAGACAAAATATGTAGTACGCATATCATAACATAAGATGGAAGCCGAAAGTTTTTAATGGAATCTCTTTCGATGGAAAAACCAACGACCTATTTCGACATCTTGGTCAACATTTGAAACAAACTAAAGATGAGAGTGAAAATTGTTTTTTCATTTCAAGTCCTAATAGATACGTATCTTGTTTTCATGAATAAAAAACCATATGTCACTAATATGAAATTATGTTATCACTTCCTTTCTCCTTTTCTTCGTCATTGGATTCATCCTTACGTCTTTGAGTGCATGAGTTTCGAATGAATAACTGCTGGAAATTATTACATTTTTCACTCTCAACCCATATATTTTTGTGATTGATGTACACCGAAATATGTCACTCGTTCGTATATAAAGAACTTGCATTGTGATACCTTTTTATTTTTCACAAAACGCTCTATACATACAAGTTGATTTCTTCATTAATATTACTTAAACCCTTTTGAGAAGCAGTTTACAATGTCAGTAGCACCATGGTATTGTGATGGCTGTGGTCGAATCAATAGTTCAGTTCGATATCAATGTGAACAATGTCGAGGATTCAATACGTATGATTTATGTGACCAATGCATTGTAAAGGCGAAAGCACTTCATCCAAATCATTCTTTTAAATTAGTACCACAAGCTTTAATCGGTACACCCGTCATCAATACAACATTGCCATACTATTACTCATGGAGCACGATTAGTTATCCACAATCAACGTGGTCACCATATGTTCCATTGAGGCAACCAAAAGTGAAAATATCCTACGAATATCAAACTTAACAAATTTTACGATTTCTTTTTAATATGGATTCATTTTATTTTTCTCAATAAATATGAGTAAAAGAGTTGAATATAAATCGATAAATGTGAAAACTACAACTAATCTTCACATTTATTATATGACATAGAAAAAAAATGTTGTTTTTTCCATCTACTCGTCACGAAAAATAAATATTCGATCTATTCATACGAGAGATGAGCGTGCAACGAACTGCATCAAACTACTCATGGCTATGTCTTCTATCTTCAGTACGAGTCATCGTTGACAGATAGAAGAGATTATTTTCATTGCATATAAACTCTACACAATATACTATTTATTCAATAGCACATGAACATTAGTCCTTTTTAAATCTTCTATGTATAGAGCTAGAATAGAAATAAGGTTATTTGAAGCAGAACAGCAACAATCAAGACGGCAGTCGAATAATATTTCACAGAACAATTTCAAACTGCTACACAAGACAATTGAAAAAAGCTCCATGTCTTGAACAAAAACTAAATTGGTCTGACTTATCTTCGACCGGTTATGGTGTTGAAAGTCAATGATGATGTGAGCAACTTGTGACTCAGTAAGAATCAATCTGTTCGACAAGAGAAAGTAATCGATTCGAAGTGATGCATATGGTTGAAGAGAAGATCAACATCCACACTCGCGAAGCAGGTTTTTTCCTTTTCATGCTTCAATCACAGCACGCATCTCAATATATTAGCCATTAAGTGATACTAAACTTGATCATATGATTTACAGATTTACGTCAGTAGTGATCAATGTTTACCTTATTGTTTTACTAAAGATAAAGTAAGACAAGCTCTGTGATTCAGAAAATCCTACCATGTGACTCATGACCGCTGTGCAAAGATCTCAAAGTCTTTTTAGAAACATTTATAATCATTATAGATGACTAGCTACGGTATCATTAAACAGATTAGGTTTGATTTCCTATATATTTTATCTGTTCTCCATAAGAAATACACACAAGTATTAACTCCAGTTGATCATTACTGAAACAATAGTCCTATGAAAACAAAATCATAGCACAATGTGTCCTAAAGGAGTTCCGGCGATAACTAGTTAATAATGATATTGTCTTGTTGTATTTCTTGACATTGATACAAACAAAGAACTAATAGTTTAGAATAGGTGTGTGGGTGTGGATGTGTGGATGTAGGTGTATCTGTATTCCTCGCATCTAAACCATACCCAAACTCCTTCATATTCTGTTAATCTAATATAGCTAGCAGATAATAGTATCTTGTAGAAAACTGAACAATGAATTTTTACATAAAGGTCAGTTTGATTGTACCTGAAGAGAACAAAGGTAACAAGGAACAATGACGATAATAAGCTCGTTGTTTTGTGAAACTCACATGTATTTTCGAAGAAAATAGTGATTGTAAGTTTTAAGCTCAAGTTTTTGTGGCTCTCCTCTTCCCATTACAGACACTCCGTTACAAACTGTAGCAATTAAGAATACCAGGCAGCAGATTTTCTAATTTTTTTCAACAAATTGATCAAGTTATAACTTTGAAAGTTGATCAACATCATTGTTTGTGAGCTGATTAATATATATAATAGTGCGTAAGACCTACAGTAGATATTATGGATATGTAAAATAGATTTATTTGTAAATTAATTCGATGATTATAATAATAAGAATGTTGAATTATGAAAAACGAATTTTAAAAAAAGTAAAAGATAATGAGCGAATAGCAACAATGCAAAATAAAAATAAGGCGCGCGAAGAAAAAAAATTCTGTTCGAAATGTGGAAATTGGAAAGGTTTTTACTCTGATTTTCGATTATCCTACAAAACAACTATAGTCTACGAGAGGTTTCTTATTTTACATATTTTGTATCAGTTTAATGAGGCTTGAGAGCATATGTGAGTTCCACATTTCAGCCTCGAAGAAGTTGTGCTAGTAAGCTTTTTGCATTATATATCATAAATATAGTATATTTCTTCATGCTGATGATAGATACTTTGAAACATTGAAATAAATAGATCTTAAAAGCCTCGTGCTACATGAGAATGTAGAAGTTTTAACGTTTGTTCTATTTATACGTACAAGGCATCCAGTCATGATGCACGAAATCCTTTTTGTATTGAACATCACATAGAGTTCATTTTATAAATGAATTTTTATTGATCAAGAGCAAGTTTTTTGGCAGCTATAGCTTTTGGAATTTGAGAATATTTTGAATTGAACTCTGTTTCTAATGGGACAAATTATAAAAGATGAAATTCAGCATAGTTTTATTGGTTTTATTATATTGATGAAGTAACTGTTAAATGTGTGCTACAGAGTGCATGCCAACCGTCGGGAAATACTTTCTTTTGCCTGTGTTCACCAATACATTTCGGTCCATTATGTGAATATCGTGGTACCGGAACCGATTTAACTGTGCTCGAAGCAATTCCCAATGGTTCACTAACAAATTATGATAGAACTGTTGAAAGAGAATTCAACCGCTCCAATTGGACCAATATGGTTGCTGTTGTCGATGTTACCGGTTCAATGCAGCCATGTGCAGCAGCCGTTTATAAATGGTTGAAATTAGCTTACGATAAACTAAATTTGATCAAATACTATGTCTTCTTTAACGATGGTGACAATAAGGCTGATGCGCTCAAGGTAATTGGTTCTACCGGGGGCATCTACGGCATACCGACTAATAATATAAATACAACACTAGCCGTAATGCAAGCAGCTATGAAAAATGGTAATGGCGGTGACGGCCCCGAAAATGATATTGAAGCAATTTTATATGGTATCAAACAATATCCGACATGTACGAATTTGATTCATATTGCTGACAACCAAGTAACGCCACGTGACGTGGCTTTACTTTCGCAACGTAGCTCTGCCAGTGAAAATCATTACACATCAGTTGGGCTCATCTTCTATCAATGCTGATTTAATCAATATTGCTACTCGCACAGGGGGTTCAATATATACTCTCGAACAAGACATTATAAACTTATCTGATATTTCAGTAAACGGTTCTATTGTTATGGGAAGAAATACGTATCGTCGTACGGTAAATGGTTACAAACATATTACTTGACAAAAGTATTTGACTAATTCAGACTTTCATCAATGTTCCTCTTTTTAATTTTTAAAAATAAAATTCTTCCACACATGCTTGTACGTGTGTGCTCCAATGCCGTCTTGTATGTTTCTCAAGATTGAACTCATGCATATATCATACTCATAATTCAGCTAGAACTGAAAGACTTAAAAAAGCATGAGCTATAGAGAATACATATAGATCCAACCAATCGAAACTGCAAATAAGACTTTCATCACATGAATCTGTTCACTTCCTATATTGTCGCATAGCTCTTTCTCCATTTGCTAACGACAGTGTTATATAGGTGAACAGATCATGTTCGTGTTAATTAAGAGCAACTTCACTTCTTTGACAGTGTTCGATTTCTAGTCTTGACGTCTTGATGCTAAGAATGTATGCTTCAGACAGTAAATAACAATGAAGTGATGTAGCCGAACATATATACAAACAGTTTTTTAAAATGCTTTTTCATCTTTCTTTCGATTCTTCAATAGTGACATAGCAGAAGACGACTAGTTAGTTAATTGCTTCTTCAGTATCACCACTTCATCATATCATCATCAAAGAATAAAAAAAAAGAAAAGCTCACTTAGAAAAGATTGTATGCATACATGCACGCCTAAATCATTTCGTTGCTATTCACTATCTAGAAAAGACAGTATCGATGAGGAGGTATTGTCAAGATATCAAGCACTAGTAAGAGACATTGTCTTTAATCACTTTAAAATAACCGTCTTTTTTGATTGAAATCAATTCATATTTTTGAGCATCATTAACAGTCGCTTTAAAAGCATCGAATGCAAAAGGTTCATGTATCTGAATGTTATTTGTACTACTCATTGATCAATAAATACGTACATCGTATTGTCTTAGAGTTGACAATGAATTACTTATTTCCGGGTTGAAGACATTATCATATTACATAGAACGTGACTTCTTATGCATAAAATTTAAAAAAAATGTTTACGCGATGTTTGGATATGAATTGCCTATGAGTAAAAATGAGCAAATCCATGGAAAAGATACTGCGTTCTAGAAGATATCACGAGTTCTGTTTTTGCTATGCTATTTTGATTTTTAAATGTCTACATAGTTCTTTGAACCAAAATACTTCGATGTTTTTCTATGCGTTTTGAACAAATCATCAGAATACTAGAAACATATTATATAGATCATTTGTTCGCGTGAATTAAGTTGGTGTTTTGAGCGGCTCGGGGGCCAATAATGATTACATGTATGCATTCTCCTCTTCAGTTGCATATAAGAAGTATTTTTCAAATGTTATGATCTTCTTCTAGTATGATATTAAACCCTCTTTCATATTACAAGTCCTGTCCTCATCAAAAATCCTCCCTTGGAGGTATTTCTCCGATAAACTTTCTGTTTTCGCCAACGAAATTCGAACAAAGTTTTCAAGGTCAGTTAGAAGTCTTCGACGGCTTTTAATATGGAAGGAGGTTAGGTGGAGTACAGTCTACACCAGAGTTGTAACTAATAACAGTAAACAGCTGGTTCCGTCCGGTTCGCTAGAGAATCTCTTATTGACCAGTATGATTGTTTCTGAAGTTTTTAAAAGTACTTTTTTGTTTGTAAATCAGAGACGTTTTACTGATTTCAAAGGCTGTGTCTACGAGGAGAGATGCGCAAGGCTATTTTAATTAGTCGAAATTCTTCAGAATATATTTATCATATTTTAATAACACACTCTCATATCAAGTTATACTATGAAATTAAAATTATATAATCGTTTAGCATTTTAGTTTGTCATAAATTTATTTATATATTTCCTACTGTCTATAGAATATATTTCTCACAGACATAACAGATTACAAAGCGAATATAATGTGGGAAGCAGATAAAATATATACAATTAATTAATAAAGTTCGTGTCAGATAACCCGTTGATCGATTTGGGAAGCTCATA